TTCCCTACAGTTGTAGGTCGTGCGATCCTCACCTAAATAGACCTCACCAGACAATCTCTAGAAATATGACTTAGCTTGCCACACTTGTAGCACACATTCCCAAAATGAGAGCAATCTCTAGTTAGGTGAGGTCCTCCATATATGAAACATCTAATAGCCTGTGCTCCACCTTGAGGAGTAGTAGCCTAAGGTCCTAATGATAGTACCCGCTGTTGTTGAGAAGATCCATCATAGGGTGTCCTTTGTTGGTCTCACCTCTTGGACCTAGATGGTCCCTCCTGAGTCTCCTGAGTCTTAGCAGCTTTGCTACCACGACTACCTTCTAATCTCTCAACGGTCTTCATCTTCTCAACCAAGGCCATTGTGAAAAGAATAAAAGGGAAATCAATCTTAGGAGTAAACCAATGTCAAATGTATGTGACATATACATACATATATACATATATATATATATATATATAAATTTTATTCCAAACAAACATTTTCAATTTATTTTTGTCAAAAGAGGTATAAATTTATCTTGACACATATAAATCATAACATGAAAAAGTGATACAATGTCAAAGTCTTGTCCTCTACCAATATGTGGACCACATTATGCATGAGCATCAAACATCCCTAATAATTAAATTAGGATCCGCGTTATATATCATTTGGTTGTCCTGTCTTCTAAACAAAGTGGACTAAAATATCCTCAAGACCTTGCAAAGGGTTCAAATGAGGCAAGCCATCCATCTTATTATTTGTTGTCAAACAAAAAAAAGAAAAATAATTAAGAACTGATCCGAAAATATCAATGGTCTCCTAACAAAACATTGATTCCCCACCCAATTAAGTGGTTCCCTCCAAAACCAAACAACAAATTATATAAAAAAAAATGGAATTTAAAACTCAACAATAGGCAACAATTGAGCAAACTAGAACCAAGAGAGTTGCGCTTGTAGCAAAAGATAGGCTAGAAAACTAAAATGAAAATGTGAACGCCTTCTTATTAACTCAAATTGTAGTCACCTTTATCTTATTTTGTAGTGGTTGTCAGCATTTTTCTCTTTTGTATAAAAAGAAATTACCATCAATAAAAAAAATCACTTACAATTGCCTTTCTCCTTTTCCCTCTTTAAACTCTAGCTCTATCTTCATCTTTTTTATTTCTCACCTTCTAGAATCACATACATAATAATTAATAAGAATATTTTTGTCCTTCAACTTTACGTCGTTACTGTCACTTAACGGGATTTCATTAAGAAAGTCAAAGAAATGTCAAATAGTAAAAAAAAAAAAAAAATATTGTGTACAATCTAAAAAAAAAAAAAAAAAAAAATATTGTGTACAATCTAAAAAAAAAAAAAAAAAAAAATATTGTGTACAATCTAAAAAAAAAAAAAAAAAAAAATATTGTGTACAATCTAAAAAAAAAAAAAAAAAAAAATATTGTGTACAATCTAAAAAAAAAAAAAAAAAAAAATATTGTGTACAATCTAAAAAAAAAAAAAAAAAAAAATATTGTGTACAATCTAAAAAAAAAAAAAAAAAAAAATATTGTGTACAATCTAAAAAAAAAAAAAAAAAAAAATATTGTGTACAATCTAAAAAAAAAAAAAAAAAAAACAAGGTGCAAGTGAATATAAAGATATTTATTTAATAATGATACTATGAAAATGTAGAAACGATACATGGTTTTGAAAAAAGTAATTAAAATGAATGAAGTGAAAACGAAAAATAAAGAAAGTTAAAGACAACCTAAACAAGCAGGACTGTGGATGTTTCCATTACTTTGTCCTCTAATATTTTTGACTTTTTTCCAATTGACTATATATATATACATGAGTTGAAATTTGGAGAAAACATCAAAAGTAAATAATAAGAGTGAATCATGTATAGTTTTGGCGTTCTAATCCTCAAGTTTAGTAGTTTCAAATAATTGGCATTGATTTTTAACACCTTTGATATGAATAGAATGTAGCGACACCTGATTGGCATCTTACAGTCGTAGTGTCGGGTCTTTTTGCCAATGATTGTTAAATAGCTTCCGTCATCGAGATATACTTTTTCTTTTCTTTTCTTTTTAGGGTGGTCTTTATATCTGCCCCCTTCTCCATGACATCATAAAAGAAGAGAAGACCTCCACTACTACATCGCTTTGATTCATGATTTAATCATGATTTACCAATAGCTATATAAAATTTAACATTAGGATAACGATGATTGTAGCACATGAAAATAAACAAAAGTGTGCTCATAAGTCATAGATTGCGTAATCAGTAAAAATAATCAATTCCCTTAACATGAACAAAGATTACGCGTACAAGGAAAGAGAGAATTGACGAGTTTGACTTTGGAACACAGAAAGAAGAGGAGATACTACACGTTTCACTAGTGAGAGTGATGGAAGAGGCCAATTAAATAGACTCATAAAAACATAATACAGCAATACATTGATCAAAAGAAGAACCCTAAACACCAAACTACGTTGAAAAGAGGCCCCACTTGGCAAAGTAATTAAAGTAATTGTACTCTAAGGTTTAATATCATGGCACTTCATTTTTTTTCCCTCTCTCTTTGGACTTGTTCATTGCTTAACTAATCACACATTGCTAACTGTTTCAGTCACAACATCACTTCTTGCAACATGATTTGGCTCGGAGGGTACCATTGTGCTCATTTTCACAACGTCAATAATATGACCTCCATTTAGTTCCTGCAACTTTGTTGGTTCCGGTATCTTAGCGTTTCTATAAATCAAATACAGCACCATCTGAATTATGCCGAATACAAATCCAAGTGTATTTGGGAGCTGCATCATCCAAATATGCAAGTATTAGTTTTTTTTTCTCAATCAAATTAGTTTTCTTGGTAAGTCAAATCAAATTGAAAACGAGTAAAATTAAATTGCCTAACATGTAAACATTGGGGTCCATGTTTACGTTTGACTGTTTTCTTTCATGGGAACTCAACATTAATGGAGTGTGCACACATTTAATCATTTGTTATAATTAATTTGGCATTATCATTTATAAAAGCATAGCCAAAAGTTAGGGATCTACAAATAAAAAGAAATGATAAAAGTGATAAAGTAGTCTTGTTAGGTTTTAATAAGACAAAAATGTAATGGTGAATATAATATAATATGAATTAGCTCCTAATTAATCGAACGTTATAGCACAATTGAATTGTACTTGTACAAAAAATTGAACTTACAGCGATGTAGTAGTCCTTGAGAAGAAGACCATAGAAGAACCACATGACAGCATTTAAGGTCAAAAAGAAGGATAAACTGAAAGGCATGAATTCCACGCTCTTCGTCTTGATAACACGTTTCTGCATGTATTAATTATGAGATTTATTTTATCCTTGAGTGTATATGAAAAAAAAACTGCAAAAATGTTGACGATGAATTTCTTTTCACACCTAAACACATAAATTAAAAAGTCTTTAAAAAAATCTTTAAATATTTTTTTAAGAAGCTAAAAGTAAAAGCTTCTGAAAAAGAAAGCTGACTTCATTTTATTTTTTTTATTTTTATTTTTTACATAATAATTTTTTTTTAAGATTTAAATAATTGGCTCCTAAGTTCTCACCATGATGCAGAGAGGAGCAGCAAAAACGCTTATGTTAAAAACCAGGCAAATCCATCCTATGATAGAAAGACGTTTGGATCCTGTTGTAAGGTAGAGTGTCGAAAGAAGCATCGCTCCGAACCCAAACACATTCAACAACAGAAGAAGCTTGATGGTCAATAGCTGTGACATTTCAAGAAAAGGAAAACTAATTATTTTCTCATTCTTAAAAAATAATAATAGAATGAAATGAAAGAATGCAAAGAATATAGAAGGTATTATAAGCAATACCCTGGTTTTGTTTGGGGCGTAAACTAGAAAGATTACAAGGTAAATTGTTTCAATCACACATCCAAAAGTGTTAATGGTAATGAGAAGGAGGCTAGCATCCTTTTTGACGAGTGCGTAATATATCCACAACATTGAACTAAACAGTGCAACAATATAAGGCAGTGATTGAAACCCTTCCGTGGATTTCTTCTTGTAGATTTGGTAAAAAGTAGGTCTGCATCAAATATAATAATAAGTTAAAACAACGCTTCAGAATCATTATTTAAAATTAATGAGCTATGATAAAGCAGAAAATATCACTTACAATGGAGCAAGGAAGACCATAAAGGAGATTACGTTGCCTATAATAACACAACAAAAATACAGAAAAACATCCATCAGTACAGCTGGTTTACAAATAGTCATCAATCATCATTATTTATACCAACAGGTTTTTTCCTCATTAATGAAAAATTTGAATTCACACCATAATCAGAACTTCGCTAATTTGTTAGTACTGTTGCGTTCAAGTGTTATAATTTATCATTCTTCTCAAAACTGAAAAAATGCCATGCAATCTGCATGCCACATATGGCTCCAGTTTTAATCACGAGAAATTACCCATATATTATATTATTAATAAGAAATAATATATACTTCCAAATAGTAAAAAAGTAACGTTAATTTTACGTATTCGATGCAAGAAGTTTGTTGAAACCAACATGCTTAAAGTGATGCTAATGAAGAGGAATATGATAGTACGTGAAAGAGATAGAACTATATATGTTAATAAAAGAAAAAGAGTTTAAAAAGAAAAGACATAAACTAGGAATATAACCAGGTAGTATATATGTATCTACCTAGAAGGCCAAAAATGAAAGCCCAAGTTTCGTGGTGGATGGCCATGATCTCTCTTGAAGTTAAATCTAATTGGATTCTCCCTCTTGATTTTTGTTGGATCACTCTCGGTGGTCACGAAAAGGTGTAGAACGATCCTCTTCTCTCCAAGTGAGTTAAGGCTATCTAATCTCTCTTTCAATGGCACGAGTCGTAATGGCAAGAGTGGGAACCTATTTATAGTGCGCAAAAGACTTGTCAAGTTGCTAAACAGGTATGATAATGTAGCTTTAGAGAGTACTTTCCAGTTGTTCCACCCAAACACTATTTACTTTAACCAAAATCCAAACTCTTTTCTTATTGCCTTCTCTATCCTAATTTGGTTCAAGTCTCTACCACCCTCTCTCAGGGTGACTCGGGTTACCTTTTACCATTACTGGTGCATGCACAAAATTCCATGCATTTCTAACTTAATCAGGGGATGTACAAAATAAACTGAATTTAATGGAATTTATATATAAAAAAAATCATTTAAATTTAACTAAATTGAAAGTTAGTTTAGGTGAAATAATGAAAATAAACTGTAATTTGAACTAAGCTAAATCATATAGATGCTTTAAATTGATTTGTTTTGCCCCATTGATTGGATAAGACATGACAAATTGGTTTATTTTATCTTACTTTATTTTATTTTTATTTAAAATTTTAAAAAGAAAAAATATAAAATATAAAGTCAAATAGTTTTCTAGATTTGTAACCTAAAATTAATGATTTGACTTAATTTGGTAAGTCCATTAAATTTGGCTAAAATTGGCTCAATTTTATTTTGAAACACTTATCATATCAATTCATCGAGTTAGATCATTTTTTAAACTTCTAATTTTTGTCATTTTATAAAAATAGTTGAGTTTGATTCAATTTTTATAATTTTTTTTATCAGTTTAAGTTTTCATACAAACAGTTCAATTTAGTTTAATTTTATTTTTTTACCCTCTTAAATTTAATTAATAATCTCAAATTTTAGTGTAATAAATATATAAACTGTATTAAATATTAAAAAAAAACTTCATCATTTATAATAATTTTATCAAATTTGAACAAAGTTATTTACCTACAAAGATATATATATATATATATATATATATATGTATATAAATTTTACTAATGTGTACTAGGGTATACTTTAATAATTATTAAAATTCATTATCCAATACCTCTTTTTAATATATTTATTATGTGAGAGAGTAAATAATAATAATAAATAATATTAATTCTGATTTTAAAAATTAATTTGATGTTATTTTTAATTTTATCTTTCTATTTAAATTTTTCACTCCTAATCAAAATAATAATAAGATAGATTTTAATAATATTTTACTTAAAGAATTAGAGATTATTCTATGTTTTTTTTAACTATGTTATGTTTTTGTTCATGTGGGGTCCACAGTGAATCTTTATGACGTATCACCCACGATGTGGCTTTGAGCCTTACAACTCATCATAGTATTCTGTTGCAAGAGGAGTGAAACTTGCCGCAGAAACTTGTTAATTAGTAATTACCTTAATTAATTACCTCCTTGTTGCTCCCAAGGGACTGGGTTCGGCTCCTAACCTATGAATACCCTTCACCATGTAAATGTTACGGCTGTATCTCCATCTTTGGTGTTATTTTATTTATTTAGGCAATAATTCAAATTCACTTTGAGCTCTGGTTGGTAGCCTTTATTCTATAGTATTTCCCGGCAAATGATTTGTATTGCGCTTTATCGATATTAATATATACATAAGATTAAATTAATGATTTTTCGTCTTCAAATTACTTGAGATTTGTTTAATAGATCCGTGTGCTTTAAAGTTTTATAATTATATTCCTAAACCTATAAATCATGCGATCTATAAAGGATTCCATCAGAGTACAAAGAAATATTTGAAAATTTTCAAATAGTTACTAGGTTCCTAATTTATTTGATTTTTTTAAAAGTAAATTCCACAATTTTAACTACTCTGTAATCAGAAATTCAGTATTTTTTTTTTTTTTTAATTTCAGAGACTTAATTAGAAAATTTTAAAATATAAAAAACATTTGGAAGTTTCCAAATAGTTTAAGTACGTATCAAAGATAAAATTAACCTATGAAAAATAATATTAAAACTATTTTTTTAATATATATACATTACTTTTTCATACAATTTATTATTACTAAATTAATTTTATATGGGCTTCGTGAAAAGAAAAAAAAACTAAACCTACTTCATTTTATTTTGTAAAGATAAGAAATATTACAAAGATGGTCATAATGACAATTGAATCTATGATACTCATATTTCTAACTATTCCAATCCTTTCCCACCCAACCACTTAAACCTACTCCTTTTATAATAAGATTTATACAAATAATCTTAGTAATAATAAACTATGTGTTTCGAGGGGAAAATATAGTTAATAAAAAGGTGACTAATCAAATTTTCTTATCAAGATTAATCAATAACGAAATTGGTAGATATTTGACACCAATAATATTTTGATAAAGAAATTATGTGCTTTTGAAAAGATTAAGAGTTTAATTTTGATATATTTAAAAATTATACATTTATTATTAATCAATTAAAAATTACCCTAAATATATTTTTAAGGTTATTATTATAAAAATTAACAACTTTGCCAGACGTAATATTTCATAATTAGATGATAATATAATTTTTTTAAACTATTGATGTATTTTAATTAAATTCAAAGATAAATATCTACTGCTCAATAAATGCATTCAGATTTAAAATATTTCATAATCATTGTATTTTAATTAAATATAGGGTTTATCTACTTTGAAATAATTGTGATGATAAAAATAATTATTTTAGATTTATTTGAGAGGCCAAAGAGTTGAAAGTTAAAGAAATATTTTTACAAAGATAAAAATAAAAGAAGTGATGTAATAATTATTTTAAATTTAGAAGATTTTGATAATTATATTATCAGTATGAATTATCCATCTGTTTCATCAATAACTAAATTCAAAACCTAGCAAATCATTTTTAATGGTCTCATAATTTATTTTTCATCCACAAAATTTGACTATAAGATATATTAAGAAGGTTATATTCAATTCTACTCAAATGAATAATTTGTTGATTTAAAAGTTAGAAGATAATTTTTAAGAAAACTCACTATAAGAAAAATATAAATTACTGCCGGATAATTTTTTATAGATATAAATTCTTCGAAAAATGTATATTTTTGACGGATTTTACCGACAGAAAAAAAATTCCTAGGAAGAGTTATATTACCGACGGATATAAATCTGTCAGAAAATTTATGTTTCCGACGGATATATCCATCGATAATTTCTGACGGATACAAATTTGTCAGAAAATTTATATTTTTGACATATATAAATATGTTAGAAAAATTATATTTTCGACGGAAAAAAATTCGTAAAAAAAGTTATATTACTGATAGAATATTTTCGACAAATTTATATTTGTCGAAAATGTAAGAATTTTTGACAAAAATTGACAATCATATTTAAAAAAAATTAATAAAATTTTAAATATATATATATATAAAGATCAAATGACTTACAAAGTAATTCTTGGTAAAATTATTTCGCTCAATAACTATAGTGTATGTTAAATTTCATCGATCCAATTGTTAAATTAAAAGTTATTAAATTTTATTAATAATTAATATAGAAATTACCCTAAATATATTTTTAAGGTTATTATTATAAAAATTAACAACTTTGTCACACATAATATTTCATAATTAGATGATATATAATAAAAAAAACTTAAACTATTGATGTATTTTAATTAAATTCAAAGATAAATATCTATTGCTCAATAAATGCATTCAGATTTAAAATATTTCATAATTAGTGTATTTTAGTTAAATATAGGGTTTATCTACTTTGAAATAATTGTGATGATAAAAATAATTATTTTAGATTTATTTGAGAGGCTTAAAGAATTAAAAATTAAAGAAATATTTTTACAGAGATAAAAATAAAAGAAGTCTTGTAATAAATATTTTAAATTTAGAAGATTTTGATAATTATATTATCAGTATGGATCACCAATAACAAAACTCAAAACCTAGCTAATTATTTTTAATGGGATCTCTCATAATTTATTTTTCATCCACAAAATTTGACTATAAGATATTATTTAAGAAGGTTGTATTCAATTCTACTCAAATTAATAATTTGTTAATTTTAAACTTAGAAGATATTTTTTTTAAGAAAACTAAATATAAATACTAAATTTTATAAGATTACCATCACTATAAGAAAATTGTTATATAGTGACACATATCCTATAGTAATACAATACGTGTCACTAAAAACTACTTTTACCAATACAATAAATATCATATATGTTGATATATTGTTAAAAAATATAAGTATAGACTATAATAACGTATAAAATATATTGTTAAATCTTATTCAAAATCAATACTAAAATTGTATGTAATTATATATTAAATAAATATATAACTATAGTGATATTTTTTTGAATGTCATTATATAAAAAAAATTTGTAGTGTATTTTACATAATTTGGTTGCCAGCCACCAAAAAGCCTTAACAAGAGGGATGATGACCTCCACCATCGAATTATTTTAATGTTATTGTTAGAATTTATTATTAACCCAGTAATAATTCAGTTTTCATTAATAACTAAAACGTACGACTGCATTAAAGATCTGGGAAGCTTAATTAAAAGAATAGCTAGTAATCTCTAGCTATTATAGTTTTTTACTTGGGTTGATTTATAAGAAATGTATATTCACACCGGGAATATATCAAGTGAGAGGAAATTTATTATGAGAGATGAGAGTGTTAAAATATAATCCTTAGATTAATCAAGTGAGAGAAAATTTGACGTTTAATTAAGAGAGAGAAAATTAATCTAAAAGTTATATTTTAAACATCTCATCTCTCATAATAAATTCCCTCTCACTTAATATGTTCCCTATTCACACCTATAATTAATTGTCCTGGAGACCCGGGCACTACCTTCCCTATACGTGCGTATTCATTTTGAGTTTCATCATGAGTTTAAAGGTCATAATACACTCTATATAAAAAAAATTACATTGTTGAATTAAAAACAATTTTTGGATTAACTTTTAAAATAGTTATGATAAAAGTCAACCAATATTTTATATATGATATTTTGTAATTAAATGACTGTGTAAAAGTATTTTATATTCAACGATTAAAAATTATTGTTAAT